CCGCACTGAGCAGGCCTTGAATACTAATAGTTGAATGAATGGTGATGATAGGGCACCATCTGAAGGCTTGTCGTGCTCAGTTGAAGCCAATAATTGCTCAAATGGTTTATGGTTTTTATTGATATCACTGCTCTCCCCTTTTCGATCTAAATTTCCTTCCCCAGAGGTATCTACACTTTAAATTACAATTGCTGAAAGAGGGCAATATTTAAGCCAAGGAATAAAGTGCATGAGGAAAGCATCGGGAGAAGAAATTTAGGGACATTCAGTCCTATAAGTATAATCGTGGCATTCTGAAAAGGCTTCATCTCCCTGGATATACCTCATCTTCATCACCAGGCTTCTCAAGACACCCTGCATCAGACCGTGGGAGAGCTGCATGTTCAGCATTACCTAATTTCCTCATAAATCTCTTGCCTTTTAATCAGCTAAGTGGCTATCTGCCGAATTTCCATGATTTATTGACATCTTATGAGGGCTGAGGATGCGTCCAGATACTAAGTGATTAAATGTGGATGAAAATGGCACATCCCATAATGACAGAAAAGGGAATCGTGATTTGGCATACATAAGACCTCACAGAGACGAATGTGGGCTGCTTCTTAAGAGGGCAGGCTCCAGAGCTGCAGAGAAAACGGCACCACCAAGCTAGTTTTCACACGAAAATCTACCCAATTCCTCTCACGAGAGATGCACTCACATTCGCGGGCTCAGCAGTCCACAAGAACCACGGCCCCCTCGGAGTCCACTGTTTCAGAGAAGCAGTGGGAACTGTAAGCTGCTAGTCATGCTGAAAGGAATCCTGGATTTCGTCCCCCCCTTACCCAACAACCATGCGGCCCGCAAGGAAGGATGTTTCCACTTCTCTGGAGATTTCATTCTTCGTCTGTTCATCAATGATCCCTGCTGCCGAGGGCAGTCGTCCTAACACCCTCTTTTGAACCGAAACACTTTGATTTAACACAGCGGTTCTCAACCTGTGGGTCGCGATCCCTTTGGCGGTCGAACGACCCTTTCACAGGGGTCGCCTAAGACCATCCTGCATATCAGATATTTACATTACGATTCATAACAGTGGCAACATTACAGTTATGAAGTAGCAACGAAAATAATTTTATGGTTGGGTCACAACATGAGGAACTGTATTTAAAGGGCCAGAAGGTTGAGAACCACTGATTTAACAGGACATTATCTTGGCTCCATAAAATGAAAGATTATTTTTTGTCATGGGTCTTTGGTATATTTGTTAAAGTGCAACCTGCTGGAAACACCACTGATAAGACATACCAATTCTCTGAGATGCTGGTATCAGAAAGGTGAGAAGTGTTCGCTACCTGTCCACAAAAGAGAACCTCGCTTCAAAATGCGAGTAGCGAAAATGGCAGCAGCCAAGCCCTCTCAGTGTTACCGCAGTCCAATCACACAATTTATTACCTCTATACAACACTAGGGAACAATCTAGCAACTACTATACTATTCAGCGGGCTTCTTTAATGGCATCAATGGCTACAAAATTCTTGAAAACTGAATACTGCTCCAATGGGCTGAAAAAGAACTTACAGGAGGTTCTCCACTTAAGAACGTGCTGAGTTTCAAAAGCGTGCGTATAAGCCAGATGTTGAAGACCACGTTGCCCAGGCTGGCTCAGCCAACTCCCAGTCTCCACACACTTATTTAAACGGGATGCACAGGCTCGCAGTCCCTGTTGTTTAGCTGCTGAATGTGATTTGCAGTGTTGCTGCTCTGGTACACTGAGTTCTGAGTTTTAACTCAGGACATCCGGAGTGGAACTACTTTGCCCAGCTCCGGAGGGAGCGGGTGACGGGCAACACTAGGATGAAGGGGGGTGATGGAAAGAGCAGAGCGGGGTAGAATAACTTACTACCGACATGTACCTGCATATAAGGCCTTACTTTAGGTCTATTTCCCTTTAAATGTTCTGAACTGGGACCAGAGACAAAGTTCATTTAATAAACACAGAACACATGAGACAACCGTAGGACCAGAAAGATGAAAAAAGTCTGTGGTTGACCTGGAAGAGCTCAACCTGTGGTGAGGAGGGGCAGGTACCCAGCAAGCACTTCAACAGGAGCTACAAGGAGGATCTGAACAAGCGCCCAGGAGCCCCCGCCCGGCGGGCCTGGGAGAGGCTCCATAGAAGAGATGACATTTGAGCTCAGCCTGGCAGACATCTGGGATGTTGTCACCTGAGAGCCCCTGAGTCATCACCATCCCTTTATATACACAGGTTTATTCTTAAGTGAGGTATTTTAAGAAATAATCAGTGTATACAAACTGAAAGTATTGTATCCCCAAAGTGCCCAACATTTTAACATAACTTTTTTTCACTTATTGACAGTTGTTATTGGTAGGAGGTGAAAACCAAACATCAGTTTTAACAGGCTTCAGAGAATGAGAGATATTTCACTCTAAAAAAGAAATTAAAATAATTTTAAAATATTTATTCCAGCAAATTATCTGTGAGCTCACTCTGAATTTCCTTTCATCCCAGTCTAGCTCCAAAGAGATAGGTTTATTTTACCTTACAGAAGACATGATTCTGAAAAGTTGGATGTGAAGAAATCTTGAGTATATTAAGACATTTAAAATCAATGAGGGAGCTCAGCCGGCATGGCTCAGTGGTTGAGGATCGACCTAAGAACCAAGAGGTCACAGTTCGATGCCCCATCAGGGCACATGCCCGGGTTGCGGGCTCAATCCTCAGTGTGGGATGTGCAGGAGGCAACCGATCAATTGATGTTTCTGTGTCTCTCTCCCTCTCCTTTCCTCTCTGAAATCAATAAAAATTTTTTTTTAATGAAATAAAACCAACAAGGGAAACTGGTTAATCAAAAAAAAAAAACCACAGTGGGTGTATTTCCATGAAATCAGAAATCTTTTAATAATATGAACACTTATCCTCAATTTCTTTTATTATATTTTTATCCAAAAAAAGCTTACATGCAGTTTCTGTAAAGTTGCACACTGGTAGTTGGTATCATAATGATGCTGCCTATGAACACTTTCATTGAAGAAGGATCATAAAAATCTCACGGAGCGTAAATCGTTGTAAGAAGTGGGGTAGCATCCTCTTTAACCAAGAAGAGAGGGTCCCTGGGTTTACGGCACTCCACTCCAAAGCTTCTGTGGCGCTCACTGTGTCTCAGGATTCTCCGGGGCTGCCCCACCCACTTTCCTGCCGTGTGCAAGCAGTCCCCAGACCTCAGCTGGGGCTTGTGGACAATGGCTGCCTCAGAAGGACAAAACCGAGAGGAAGCCCACTCCCAAACTGCCCTGGACCGCCCCTACTCCTGCCCACCAGCCCAGCCTCGACAGCCCAGTTCTGAGGCTGGCTCATGTGTGGGTTCTGCCCCATCCTGCTCACCCACCTGTGCCTCCAAGACCCCAGAATGGAGCCAAACCCTGTCTCCTGACACTGGGCCCTCACACACACAGTGTTGGCCCTCACACACACAGAAACACAGTCCTCGCCTTGGCTTCTGCTTCATCTTGGTATTTCTACTTGCAGGCCATCCCTTTGTGAAATCTAACCGGTGGATCCAATCCGATGCTCCGAGTGTTTGCTCTCAGTCTGATCATTTCCCAGGTTTCCACTCGGCAGTCAGCAGGCTCTGCTTTGTCCCAGTGGCAGCTCCCCGTTTCCCAGGAGGCCTCGAGGGGACGGCGCCCCTTCTTCTCCAGCTACAGGAATGCCGAGTGGGTCTCCTGGAGGTTCTCCTCCAGCTTCAGGCCCAGGTTGTCGATGCCAATGCTGGTGACGGGGGGCACGCTGCTCTCGGCCGGCTCCGCCGTGCGCGTCGGGGTGGAGCAGTACAGAATAAAGCCCACCATGATGACGGCGAAAGACAGGATGTAGAGCCCCGAAAACTAGGAGGAGAGAAGAACAGCTGAGGATTATGCTCCCTCACACACACACAGCTTTGCAGCTGCCTTTTGCCAAAACCCTCGTGTGTGTGTGTGTGTGTGTGAGTGTGTGTGTGAGTGTGTGTGTGTGTGTGTGTGTGTGTGAGTGTGTGTGTGTGTGTGTGTGTGTGTGCTGGTAAACGCCGGGTCTCTGACAACGTCCCCTGGCACATCAGCCACCTGGCTACCTACAGCTCTAGGAAATGGAACTTCTGCCTTTTTCTGTGACAACCTAGCCGCACCCCACCGCACAACTAGTCCCACTTAATTAAGAGAATGAAAGGTGAGTGGATACCATGAGAGAGTCCAATTCAGACCCAAGGCACAGCTTACAATATTGGTATGAAACAGAGGAGCACAGGATCTCAGATAAAATGTGGGTGCACAGCCCTGGCCGGGTGCTAACTTGGTTGAAGCACCATCCTGTACATCAAAAAAGGTTGTGGATTTGATTCCCGGTCAAGGGCATGTACCTAAGTTGCAGGTTCCATCCCTGGTCCTGGTGGGGCACATGAAGGAGGCAATAAATCGATGTGTCTCTCTCACATCGATGTTTCTCTCTCTCCTTCTCTCTCTCCCCCACCTCCCTACCTCCGTCCCACTCTCTCTAAAAATTCAATGGAAAAAATATCCTCGGGTGAAGATGAACAAAAATAAATTAATTAAATTGATAATAAGTACTCTGCATATTTGTTTTTATTTTAATTAAGGATCCATACAAAAGTTCAAGTGTAAGGAAATTCGTATTTGTTTTTAACAGCATGAAAAATAAAACACAGAAAGAGAATAAGGAAAGACTGGCCAAGAAGGATGTAATAAAAATTAGGGAAACTATGCAGCATAATGAATGTGTAATTAAATGCCCAGGATCATGTTTTTTTCTTTGGAACAAGCAAACACAATTTATAAGTGGCCCTGCTAACCTGATTGTAAATTAAAAATAGGGGGTGCTACTTTAGTCAAGCCAATAAATATTTTTAAATTAGCTTAGATTCCATAGTGTGCCCAATAAAAACAGTTCTAATCGGGAGATAACAAAGAAAAACAATAACAAAACAGAGTGGGTTGGGAAAGGAGAAGAGAAAGATGAGAGACAGAGAGAACAAAAAGCAAGATACACTCTCAAAGGTAGAAGAAAAAACTAAATAGATTTTGGAATGAGTATTAGGTAGATTTCTGGTCATCTCCAGCTGGGGGCTTCCGTGGGTCACCATTGGCTCAAGGGTGATGCTCAATTACCTCTTAACCTTGAACCTTTAGAACTGCTTAAGGCAGTGATGGCGAACCTTTTGAGTTTGGTGTGTCAGCATTTTGAAAAACCCTAACTTAACTCTGGTGCCATGTCACATATAGAAATTTTTTGATCTTTGCAACCATAGTAAAATAAAGATTTATATTTTTGATATTTATTTTATATATTTAAATGCCATTTAACAAAGAAAAATCAACCAAAAAAATGAGTTTGCATGTCACCTCTGACACGCGTGTCATAGGTTCGCCATCACTGGCTTAAGGAATGGAAGAGCCACAGCCCTCCCTGGGGCAGAAAAGCCTTCACTGGATCCAGTGGTGATGCAACCAGTGTGAATGTCAAGCTGAGCAACCCAACTCATTTCCTACCATCGCCTTTAATTCTTGGATCTACTATGCAGCACAGTACCCTATACATAGCTGGTGTTTAATAATAATACCCTCTAGGTCAGTGATGGCGAACCTTTTGAGCTCGGCGTGTCAGCATTTTGCAAAACCCTAACTTAACTCTGGTGCCGTGTCACATATAGAAATTTTTTGATATTTGCAACCATAGTAAAACAAAGACTTATATTTTTGATATTTATTTTATATATTTAAATGCCATTTAACAAAGAAAAATCAACCAAAAAAATGAGTTTGCATGTCACCTCTGACACGCGTGTCATAGGTTCGCCATCACTGGCTTAAGGAATGGAAGAGCCACAGCCCTCCCTGGGGCAGAAAAGCCTTCACTGGATCCAGTGGTGATGCAAAGCCAGTGTGAATGTCAAGCTGAGCAACCCAACTCATTTCCTACCATTGCCTTTAATTCTTGGATCTACTATGCAGCACAGTACCCTATACATAGCTGGTGTTTAATAATGTTTATTGGGGGCTGGGGGGAAAGATCCAGAGAAGATTAGAGGAAGAAAAAGTTAAAGCTATTTAGAGTACCCTGAACTTTTTAGGTTGGTATTATGAAAGTTAATCATGCTCTCCTATAAAATGTTCAGTTACTGAGGGAAAACCTACATAAGTTATTCAAAACATGTCTTGTTTGGTTTGGTGGTTTTAAATATTTAGAAGAAAACGCATCTTGTCCTTCTTAAGAAGACAGGTGATTAAACTGAGGCACCTTTATTAGAAGGGAGAGACTGAGAAGAAATGAGGTAAGTCTCCTGAATTAGACACTCTAGCTTTTTCCTCTTTTTAAAATTCTACCCTTGTGTCTGGATCTATACAGGAAGCTTCTGTGGATACTCTGTTCAATAGGTATTTACTCAAGATCAATTCCAAAGGAGGCAGAGTCTGACACAGGCGAGTGCAGAACATTTTAAACCTCTTTTTCAACTGTCTTTCAAAAAGTCAGAGCCAGTTAATTTAGGTACTACAACTTTAATAATTGGAGGTACACTGGACTTACGATTCTGTCTTTAAAAACTCTTTTTAAAATGCTAGGTATCTTCTTTATGCTCTTCTTTACGCTTCTTCATGTTTGGTTTTCCACCTCTGTAACTGACTCTGAAAATCACAGAAGACCCTCTCTTTGCTCTGTCTTGAAATGACCTTTGACCAAGAGCGACGAAATCTGATCTGATTCAAGAGTGAACTGCTAGGCATGCAGAGTCAAGGAAACAAAAAGCAAAACAGCTAGAAAGGAATTTAAAATTTGTAGTCTCCAATTTTGAGAATAGTTTAAAGTCACGTGACCGGGAAAAAAATGGCACATAGAAGGACTTTCACATATTACAGTTAGAGCAGTTAAAGAGCAAATATTTACATTAAGGGAGCTTCCAACAGTTTGGTAGTGACAAAGGTACTTTTACCTCTAAGCTTTTATTTCTTTAACCTTACTTCCTCCTTGAACATTATTTTACTTATGAGGGACAGTTAAAGTTAAACTACTAAAGCTAAATCAGTATGTTTACAACGGAAAGGCTAGGGAATGTTGTGGGGGTGGGGGTAAGAGATCAACCAAAGGACTTGAATGCATGCATATAAGCATAACCAATGGACACAAGACACGGGGCGAGCGGGGGGGAGGGGTAAGGGCATGTGCCCAAGGGTAGGAGAGGCTGGGGGAAGGTCAATGGGGAAAAAAAGGAGACATATGTACTACTATTTGTAATACTTTAAACAATAAAATAAAATTTTTTAAAAAAAGCACAGGTGAGCAGGGCCATTAGTTACACTGTTGAACTCGGGCTTTCTTTGGGCACGGTAGCCAACAACTGGCCTTGACCTGCAGAATAGAAACACCATCGTCTTCTAGTGGTGGCTCTGTGAAATGCAAGCTCAGCACCACAGAACAACTCACTCTCATAGGAAAAGAAATCTAAGCCTGTCAGCTGTAACTGACTCTGAAAATCACAGAAGACCCTCTCTTTGCTCTGTCTTGAAATGACCTTTGACCAAGAGCGACGAAATCTGATCTAATTCAAGAGTGAACTGCTAGGCATGCAGAGTCAAGGAAACAAAAAGCAAAACAGCTAGAAAGGAATTTAAAATTTGTAGTCTCCAATTTTGAGAATAGTTTAAAGTCACGTGACCGGGAAAAAAATGGCACATAGAAGGACTTTCACATATTACAGTTAGAGCAGTTAAAGAGCAAATATTTACATTAAGGGAGCTTCCAACAGTTTGATAGTGACAAGGGTACTTTTACCTCTAAGCTTTTATTTCTTTAACCTTACTTCCTCCTTGAACATTATTTTACTTATGAGGGACAGTTAAAGTTAAACTACTAAAGCTAAATCAGTATGTTTACAACGGAAAGGCTAGGGAATGTTGTGGGGGTGGGGGTAAGAGATCAACCAAAGGACTTGAATGCATGCATATAAGCATAACCAATGGACACAAGACACGGGGCGAGCGGGGGGGAGGGGTAAGGGCATGTGCCCAAGGGTAGGAGAGGCTGGGGGAAGGTCAATGGGGAAAAAAAGGAGACATATGTACTACTATTTGTAATACTTTAAAAAAAAAAAAAAAATTAAAAAAAAAAAAAACACAGGTAAGCAGGGCCATTAGTTACACTGTTGAACTCGGGCTTTCTTTGGGCACGGTAGCCAACAACTGGCCTTGACCTGCAGAATAGAAACACCATCGTCTTCTAGTGGTGGCTCTGTGAAATGCAAGCTCAGCACCACAGAACAACTCACTCTCATAGGAAAAGAAATCTAAGCCTGTCAGGGTCACTCTGATTCACTTTGAAAATTTTTTGCTGTTTAATGCTGCTACTAAAAAAACAAAAACAAAAAAAAAAAACCCAACTAAAAATACTCTTTTAGTCTTAGTTCAGGAATACCTTAACCAGCAAGTTTGCAAAGATAACAGCTGATTCCTGTCACGTGTACCTGGCAAGGCAAAATAGTTTACCCTCCTTAAGTAGAAATTTCTGAGAATCCACTGAACTAGGCAGTGTGAGTTCATAGCCAATTCCTGGGCATAGTGTAAAATCATTGCCAAAGATTTCTGCCTGGATACAAAATTGTACAAAGACTAAGAAATGTAGTTGCTATTCCCTGCCGAAACTAAAATTACCAGTTGACAGCCAACATCCCAACTACTTGTTCACCCTAACTATTTGTTGCAAAGGCAGCAAACAGGTCCAGAAGCATTCACTGAAGGTATGCAAGGAAAGACGGATCTCTAAGGCAGCAGTTCTCAAAATGTGGTCCAAAGACTCTTGAAGGTCAAAGTCTGTCAGGTCAAAACTCTTTTTATAATTATACCAACATGCTATTTGCCTTTTTCACCTTCTTTTTCTTAGAAGTGCACAATGGAATGTTCCAGAGACTACATGACATGTGATATCACAAGGCAGAATGAAGAACCAGATGTGGAATTCCAGCTATTTTCCATTAAGCCACACATTAAAGAGATTTTTTTTAATGTAAATCGATACCATTTTTACTAATTTTTTTTTATTTTGGGCAATATAGGTTTTTTAAAAAATGTTTTGTGCTAACATATGTTTTTTATTTTCTTAATGAGTTAATAAATATGGTTTAAGTTTCTCAGTTTTAAATTCTAATATGATAAATATAGAAGTAAGTGACCTGCAATTCTTGATTTTTAAGCATTTTAAAAGGATCCTGATATCAAAAAGTATGAGAACTGCTGTCCAAAGAGTTTTTAAATTAGCTGTGAAGTACAGAAAAAAAAAATCTCCCTATTTGGTTCTTTCTAATGCATGAGACTTTACCTTGATAAATACATAAGCTTGAGATGCACATCTTATTAATTACAATAGAGAAAAAAGTGCAGACAATAGAACACTGCACTATAAGACTGATAAGCCTTTGTTTCCTCACTTCTAAAATAAAATATTCATTCTGTAATTTTCGAGGGAAGGTGAAGCAGTCTCTCTGGAGATACTATCTTTACTCTCCTGTTTCCCTTGAAGACACTGATCCACTCCCTCCCACCCCACTCTTTTTGAGAATTACTACATGTCACAAGAGCTGTTCCTACTGGGAGCAGGTTACACGTTGAAATGCTGTGAGGCTTAGGAGACAGAAAAAGTCTGAAAAACCCACTAAACTGAATTACCTTTAAGGTCCCTTCCAGATATAAAGTTACCATCACTGCATGCATGATGATACAATGACCTCCTTCCCTTCCACCAGGTACCACAGACTCTATCTGTGTAGTAGGGCTTTGCAATATGTAAGGGTATCAAATCAACATGTTGTAAACCTTAAATTCCTACACTTGTCAATTATATCTCAATAAATCTGGAGGGGGGAAGCTCAGGATGCCCAACCTGAGATGGTCTCTCAGAGTCAACAGTGGCTCTGGGATTCCTTGCTTATCACCAGGCGACATGCGTTAGCATTTCCATGCAATAGTGTTATGGGCCATACCGAAGAGGAAATTCATTGCATTTCACCTTTTAGAAAAACAATTCTTATTTGGGCCAATTTTCCAACTTGGAAGCAGTAACAAAGGGAATGAGGACTGTGCAATGACATTTTTGCCAAGAGGGTAAGAAGGTTTTACTTTTGGGTCTAAAGTCTTAAAAAAAACCTACTACTTCTTTTGGATGAAACAGTGTTCTTATGTGAACCTGGGTTCTATTTACTTACCGTATAGCCAAAGAGAAAGAGCCCAAAGAAAAGGCTGTAGAGGTCAGATGTCAGGATGCCCAGGTTCACTGAGGTGGCACTGGTAACTTTAATCACCAGTGGCATGAAGCTGTACAGGCAGAACATACAGAGGGCAAATGCCACGAACAGCAGGGCTGTGAAAACATGGAAGAAATCAGAAGTCAACGTGCTTAAGGCCTGGTTACCATTTAAAATTGCTGGTCCTATAACATACTATCTACAAAGCCCCTTGTTAATAACAGCATTGCAAATGATACGCACAACACCCTCAAAAAAAAAAAAAAGAAAAGAAAAGAACAGCAAGATGTGATGTAGATAAAGGACTTCAAAAATCCAACAGGGGCCCTGGCTGGTTTGGCTCAGCGGATAGAGCATCAGCCTGCAGACTGAAGGGTCCCAGGTTCAATTCTGGTCAAGGGCACATGCCTGGGTTGTAGGCTTGATCCCCAGGGGGCCTCCGGGAGGCAGCTGATCGATGGTTCTCTCTCATCATTGATGTTTCTATCTCTCTCTCTCCCTCTCCCTTCCTCTCTGAAATCAATAAAAATAAAAATAAAAAATCCAACAGGGTGTTGAATGATCAAGCAGACAACCTTCACAAAAAGTCTGAAGACTCGAGATACAGATCTAGTAATTGAAAGCTCATGTGACAAAGGTCTCTCTTGTTCAGAATTCCTGGTAAAGAAAGGCTATTCCTGAAGGTAAAGATTAAAAATTAACTTCTATGGAGGTTCATTTACCAGTTCTCAGAGAAAACTCAATGCAAACCACTATCCTGGGTATTGAATTACTCTGTGATTTTACAAAAATGCCTAAATATTATTAAAATGAAGTGTTTATTTCTTGATGTGTGTCTTTGTCAGAGGAAAGGATACTGACTAAAAAGAATGATCATTTATGTACATACCAATTTTCCAGTCCCAATGAATGCTGGCAATATTCTTATATTCCATAAGCAATCTAAGGTTAAAACAAGAGGTCACAGAGAGGTGCACACACTAGTTTTCACTATTGTATAAGCACTTAGTTGCTATACTTCAAATAAGGTGAGGAATTATGTTGACTTTTGAATTTTTCTTAGAGTATAAAATAACTATCTTTTTTATAAAAAAATGACAAAGAAGAGCCCAGCCGGCGTGGCTCAGTGGTTGAGCATCGACCTATGAACCAGGAGGTCACGGTCCGATTCCCGGTCAGGGCATATGCCCGAGTTGCAGGCTTGATCCCCAATGTGGGGCATGCAGGAGACAGTCGATCAATGATTCTCTCTCATCATTGACGTTTCTCTCTCTCTCTCTCTCTCTCTCTCTCTC